TAATTTCAAGTCTTCAACATACATAATTTATAACAAATTCAGATCATAACCTTTTCATAAATTTCAAGGACAAATAGGGTCATTCTTTTTGTACCCTTTTCTTCCTTGATTATTTTAATTTTATATAAAGATTCTTGAGCTTTATTGAAATGTTTCCTTCAAACTTTTATATGCTTCAGACACCTCGATTGTTCAAGGATTTCCATATAACCTTCATTGTCTAGCTAGACATTAAAATTATTCATTATATGCATTAAAGTTTTTCATATGTTGCAAGTTCAAAACAAACATCATTGCATCCACCATAGGAGAAAGCATCTCCAATAATGTCAGGTTTTTGCGACAAACATTTATGCCCCAAGGCGCAAACCGTACTTGATATCTTACGGTTATACTATCGCATAATAAGTATTTGTACCCCATTGACATTATACCTTGATTTATGGACTATCAGTCCAAAACATCACTTTTCTAAGTGAAACAAAATATACTTGAATTATGCATTTTACTTGGTCAACCATTTATCTCTCCACACTATAACAGATTTGAATTCAAGATCCTCGTCAAAATTTATATCATTGAGCTCTACCTCATATCAAAGATACCATCGACGGTTATTTTATATAAATTTTAACATGACATAACTTATCGAGATCTCTTTATTTTTCATCATTTTTCAGGTACCTGAACCTTTTCCAAGGTTTTATAAAGTGTTATGTCGTGGTGCTCTCTTATAGAACTTGCCTCATTATCATGACCATATTGATCATTTGCTCCTCTCCTTCTTCAAGAAATTTTATATTTGGAATTGATTGGTCTATTACGCTTTCGGCGTATCATAGACTCCGTCCTTCAAGGACTTCACATTGGAGCGTTTGTAGCTGAATTATATCATAGGGTCAGTATATTCATCTAGCAATTGATTTGCAACATTATGCAAATGAATTATCACTTGAACTTTAAGTTCACATATTTATTTAACGAGGACCCGATAATTCATAATTAACCTCGTAAATAATTTTCAGTTGTCAATCATCTCTCCCCCCTAATGTTAGGAAATCTAACATTCATCCCAACCTTATTTGGGAATTCATCCTTGTGCATGGTTGAACAATTAAAATCATAACTGCACATGCAATATTTTAGATGAAAATTATTTGGCTCCTGACCCTAAATCAATTTTAATGGAAAACCCTTGTTGGCTTGATGCATACATGTGTTGCAACATGTCAAATAAACTATCTCATACCAAATCTTATTTGGGAGTTTTGTTCGCATAACCATGATTTAGCTATAATTGGAGGCATACAATTTATGCTAAATCAACCAACATTATCAATATAATTTCATAGTTTGGAACTGCGCTCTTAATTTAACAATTCAAGCAAACAACCTTACAAACACCAATTTGTAAGTTGAAAATAAAGAACATGTGATATATCATTGATACATCTATCATATAGTTGTAAATGATCCACATGACAGGTGAATGGGCTCGTATTCACCTTTTTATATGTTTCAAAAACTTCAGGGGATCATAATCCCAACCTTAGCTGGTACAATGATTATTTTATAAAGAGAATAAACAACATAAGAGAATTGTTGAAAATTTTTTATTTCTTCATCATATAAGCCACCTGAATTCTCAATTGCATTTGCATCACATTTAAATCAGAATGGTCAACCAATCATGCCAACTGATCTTTATTTCAGTACACTTATAGTTTACTTTTGCTATAGTTTACTTTTGCATGTGATTCCATCAGCATGCCCATGTTTGTGTGCAACAAATATGAGGAAAAAATGGGTAATATTTATAACCCGTTTCGGTTGTAGTAATTTAAAGACATTAAATATTTTCATAATTTATAGTCTAAATATTTCTTTTCAATTCATCCGAAACTTAAAAAGTTTATTTTGAGACTTACTACAACCCATTTATTATTACTCTGGTAGTAACACAACTCGTTAAAGTTTGTTATTAATTTTGTGTACTATCACATATTGCATGAACCATCCCTATGGTGAGCATCTCCTTCAAGGAGGAAATTATATTATTGTTGTCATGGTCAAAACATTACGAGCAACACATGATTCTTGCTTTAATTTTATTGTACCATATGTACACAACCAATGACAAATTTATATTGTCACACAGTATACTTGATCATGGCCACAACCTTTATAGGCAAGAATTATTTCTTTCTTTTTGCCCTTTTAGTAGTTCATAACAAACATATCATAATATTCATGATGTATAAACGCACACTACCATTGATTGTTCATGTCAAATAAAATTTATTTATTTCTCTCAAACCTCTCGTAGAGATGAGATGTGACATATATCATTTTTTTCTTCCATAGAGGTGAGTTGTGGCATATATCCAACCCATAATGATTTTATCACATCTTCACCCTTTCTCTTATAGAATGGTCGAGCATTCACGATACTCATCACAAGTCACATTCTCTTCAAGGAATGGACTAATCATTTATATATACTTCATAAATTTGCATTATATGCACATTGCCTTGGCTTTAAAATTCATCATATTACCTTGACACACCTCAACATCACTTTGAAACATCAAGTGTACCATCACTTTATATTCTTTTCTTTCGATGGAGGATTTATAAATTTGTCAAATTATTGGGTCGACAACATTCACAAGTCCAATGACCTTTCATATCATTTTAATAATAAAAATTGCCTTCACATTTTGAAGGATTATTTGGAGAACTCATAGTGTTCTTCCTTTAATAATTACCACAATAATGACTATTATAATTTTGTCCCTCCACGCCCTTATTAATATCATTAATTATTTGTCATCTTTCAGACTAATTATTCAGTGCTACCACATTCATATGATTAAATAGAGCAAGCCAACAGGCGAATCTCAAAGTTATCACATGTTGCTACCACATTCTTTTCAAGGAATGGAGCAAATTCAATATGATAAATTTCAAGAATTTTCATCAAAAATATATTCTTTTTCCTCAATCATCATTTTATCACCACTATGATGCATTGAGACTCAAACTCAGTGGCTTATCCATACAAGGCACATTAGGTCATAGTTTTATGGTACTTGAACCCAATACAGTATCATCACAGTGCATCAAAACTCAAATTGATGTCTTACACTCTTGGTGCGATAGAATTTGAATCTATCGTCTTATCCTCAAATATTTTTTTTATGTGCAGCTAGACTTAACCTGATGTCTTACCCTTTTGGTGCAATGAAACTTGAATCCACCGTCTTAACCTTAACCAATGATATAACAAACCGATGTACAACGTGACAGCCTTTGAGTTTTACAAAACAATCAAACTAATATTCAAACTCACGCTATTAAAACATTATACCTTCTTCCATATAAGAAATTTTGTATAGTATGTCATATTCAACCAATAGTAGTATATGCCTTTGGTTCTTGGTAATTGTTAGTGACTGAATACTATTTTATTCTAAATCATAAAAAAAATTAAAAAAATACATACCTGATTTTATGCAAATAATATCTTGATTCTCATAACGAGATAAACCAAAACATGAGTTAAAGAAAAACTAAATCTCACCCTCAATTGGCTAGAGACTCGTGCTGATAGCGTGTTATAAAATCAAGCTCATAGCAATATAAGTATAAAGAGAAGAAGACAAGATATAGAGATGAAGAAGAGAACTTTTCTTCTATTCAAGTGTATTATACAAAAGGTGAAAGATATCTCTATTTATAGAGTTGAGATATCACCCCAAAGGTTGCCACGATAAATGCCAATTAGTAGATACATAGTTATCCAAATGATTCTTATCACCTTGGAAACATGTTATAAATACAATTAAGTCTTGAGTATATCTAAAGGACAATCCACACAACAATTCAATAGATTTATGTAACACCCCGTAGCCAAAATAGACCAAAAATCAGTTTTTTTTCAGAAAAATATGCAGGTGCAACCAACGGTGGCATCGACGGTCCGTCCTGCACAACCGTCGATGGGATCATAAACTCCCAAAAATTCAGCCGGGAAAATTTGGATAAGTCTTGATCGATGATCCGTAGGTCAGACGACGGTCCGTGACCGTCGATCGAGGTCCCCATTCACCCACTCTCTGTCAAGAGCTATGGAGGACCAGCACGGTCCGTAGGTCTGACCGTATGTGGAAAATTTACAGACAGTTAAGGGCAAATGCAGTTGGGTAAACTTTAAATAGTCATAACTCTTATCACAAAATGAATTATGGTCCCATGACCTACCCACATATTGATAATTGAATTAGCCTTCCATACCCACCGACCTTGCTAAAATCCGACCTCCGAGTAAAAAGTTATGTCCATTTTAGTAAAGGCCTGTCGAACAGGCCCTAACAACGAACCCAACGACGGAGCGTCAGGCAGACGATGGACCGTCAGTCCTGACCGTCGTTTGGCCTGACAACAACTTTCCCAGGGGTCTTTTGGATGAGGAAGAGAAGGAGGAAGAAGCAGCAAGTATAACGTGGTACAATTTTCAAAATTTTATATTTCAAACAAAAGAGAAGAAAACATTGCTTATTGCACATTATACTAAAGAAATAGGATTGTTAATAATCCAAAACTATATTTTATAATTTGTTTCACTTAAAATATATTTTTGTCTTAAAGTTGTTGGCTCGTGTTAATTTCTACTATAAGTTGTATTAGATTAGTAAATAAGATGAATATTGAAATTTAATTATAAAAAATCTCAACATTTTAATATTTTCTTGCACCGCGCGAGTATGTATACTTATCAGAAATTAAAGTTAAAAGAGTACTCGAAAATAAAAACAAAGGAAGTACTTTATGCATTAGATTTTTTTCATACTAGCCAGTGATTCTGGCTAGTTGGAGTCTCATATAACATAGAGATAATAAGTAAACACACTAAGGTTTTTTTTTTTTGGGTTATTGTAGACATACATAACATTTCAAATGGAGGCATTTTTGGATTTCCTTCATAATTCCTGGCTCCTTCACTGTTTTTGTACTCCCATAGGAAGAGTGGCTGTACGTTTGAATGGTACGTCGACATCTAATAAGTACTTGAATGATGAAAGGCATCCAGGTAATGGTCCATGAATCTTGTTTTGAGAAACATACAATACACTTAGCTCAGTAAGACCACACATCGTCGTTGGCAACGTCTCAACAGATAAATTGTTGTTATTGACCTTCAACATTTGCAATTGCTTTATGTTTCCCAAACTAGAAGGAATAGATCCTGTTAGTTGATTATTTGATATAGATAGTGATGAAAGTGTTGTCAAATAACCAATTGAATCAGGTATGACTCCAGTAAGTGCATTGTTGTCAAGAGACAAAGTTTTAATTGAAGGCCATTGGGAAGGAGTTAAAGGCAATTGTATTTCACCAACAAGTTGATTTTTTTCTAAGTGGATTGTGGAAATGGAATGTAGTTTTGTGATTGAAAGTGGAATTTTTCCGGTGAACGAATTGTTTGACAAGAAAAGCTTTTGAAGTGCTTGTAAGTTGCAAATATTCTCCGAAATTTCTCCTGTTAAGTGGTTGTTTTCAAGGTTCAAGGTTGTTAGAGACGTCAATGTGAATACTGACTCTGGGATTGTACTAGAGATTTGATTGGTTTGTAAGTTGAGTTCTTTGAGATCCTTGAGAACCCCAATGGACTCAGGAATTTGCCCAGTTAGTCCGACTAGTTTGTTAAGATCAATAACTTGTAGTGAAGTGAGAAGTGAAATTGAAGGGGAGATTGAACCACTCATTGTACTTGACACGAAGTTTGGAGATTCATCGTCACCAGATACATAGTGACCAGGTAAATAGATTTGTACAACTCTATAAGTTGTAGAGTTGCAAGAAATGCCTGGCCAATTGCAACAATCTTGGCCAATCCATTTGCTTAGTCTGCCTGAAGTATCAGAATGTATGCCAGCTTTGAAGTCATTGAGACCCTTGAGATCATCAGGGTGGCATGCATTGTTTGCACTAATATTGATAATCATAAGAGATATCATTGCTAGGAAACAAATAAATTGATGAGATGCCATTTTGGCCTGCCCAAAAAAGGATGATTATGTCAAATTCAACAGCTCGGTACATTAAACATCTCATGTTGTCAGTTTTTTTAATCAAGCCATGTTGATTTTTAAGAAAGTAAACAAATAGACAAGTTACTACAACATCATTTTATAAAACACAATATTTTGTCACCCCTTAGTATGTTTTTTCGTTTTTGTGGAAATAGCTTTGTAATTGCTTAGAATATTAGTACTGAAGTTTAATCTCGTAAAGTGGGATCTGAGAGGATAATGTATATAAATACATTATCCCTACCCATGTGGATAAAATAATTGTTTCTGATAGACACTCTGCTCAAGAAAACAATTCATAACAATTAAAGCAACAAAAATTAGTAAAAATGTCATGACAAATAATATGGAAAGCCTTTCTACTATTATAGTCACAAACATAGTCTTAACCAATTAATGTAGTTAATTTCGTTGATGGAGGGTATCATTGTTCCCATTCTATGATATTTTTGTTTTATCAACAAATTGACCAATTAAGCCTCTAAAAGCCATATTTTTAAGAACATATCAAATTGTTGAGCTTAACTAGATAAGTGATGCAGACTGTTTGAACGAACCCATCGAACAAAAAATTACATTGTATATACATAAATTCATGAATAAAGGAGCAATAGATAGTGCGATGAAGTAATTACCAATTGTTTATGTTCCTTAAAAAGTTTGATGTCACCCTGTATAAAAGATTTTTCGATAATACCTACTTAGATTAGATATATTTAACAATTTTTGTTAAAAATGTTTTAGGTAATACCTATTTGGGTTTACAAATATAATGTTAACATTTCGATATTTATAGGCTAAACATATTGTTGCAAAATTTGAGGTAATGCAAAAGAAGTTGAGGAAGTTAAGATACAAACCACAGACAAATTAAAATAGAAAGATAGTTTTATTGAACATTTGATATCCATTCATGTATAACAACCTTGACTTTTTCTTCTACTTTTTTTTTTTTTTTTGGGGGGGGGGGGGGATGATTTTAGGCTTTGTACGATTATCATGAAATTTATTTTTAAGGTTTTTTTTAAAAGGATAAATTAACATTTTTGGGATAAATATTGGGTTTTGTAAACTGATCAAGAATTGTATATAATATATATTTAGGACACTTCTGTTTTGTAGTCCCTTAAGAGTAAATCTTAATTAAATGTAAACCGATCCAAATTGTGATTAACTTTAAACCAATTTTTCTTTAGTAAATCAATTTATTTGGGACTACTATTATCCTCCTTTCATCCAACTCAAAACAAAAGACCGTAAGGAGTATTCTCTTTAGATAACAAAGTTGACTCAAACGAATTATATGATTGATTTTCACTTGTTTTTTTTTATATACGTCTGACAAGAATATTGGAGTTATGCAATTTTAATGATTGACAAATATAAGATGAAACGCGTCAATAAATATATCAATATTCTAAAATAATAAATTCATGAAATTTTTCAAAAATGCATGATCAATCGAGTTATTACAGTATCACATTTATAAGTTTGAAGGAGTTGATCTTACATTTTAAATAAAAGCCAATTTTAATTAAATGTGTGTTATTAGACTTCTTGAAGATTATTGAGAGAAGTATTAAAACACTCATAAATTCAGTGTGAATTATTAGCTTTGTTTTTGAACTATTGGCAGCCTTAAAAATTCTCTTTTACTTGACTAACTGAACTTATAAACATCCCCGATCTTGCAACATGAGTAAATTATATCCTTAAATTCTCACTTAGTTTAAGGCGTTTTCAACACTTTTCCCAACTTTTTATTAAGAGTTTTATACTTTTACAAAAATTTAAAATCACTTACTATGTTATATAGCACATCAAAGATACATGTATCTAAGTTTAGTTAATCAAATAGAGTGGCGTTTTTAAGATTGTCAATAGTTTAAGAATAAAATAATTTGTAAAGGTAAAAGTGATTTCAGTCTTTCTCAAAAAATTATTGGATGATACTAAATCCAAAATTTGAAAGCTTTTGATATCAATTTGAGGAGGACTGAATTCAAAATTTGAAAGCTAAAAAATTAAATAGAATCAATTTTACACATTTAAGTGGAACTATTTGGGTGAAATTTTAGATAAAATGTCAGATTACGAACAATTCTTTTTTGATACTTTCGTTGTCTATTTTTATTTATTATGTTGTCCTTTTCAAACGTTAATTTAACTAATTTTTAAAATTAAGTTATATTAATTTAATATTTGCAAAAGAAAAATTAAATATTCAAAAACTATAAAAACTATAAATTGGATTTTTTTTGCATATCAATATAATAAAAAAATACATTATAAAATGTTGATCAAAATTTTTATCATTTCATTCTATAAAAGAAACCATAATAAATAAAAACGGACGAAGGAAATATTTATTTGGATTTTGTTAGATTCGTGTAGCAACTCCAGATTTACAGATCTAATGATAATTTTTTAGTGACTCTTGCAGTAAAAGATAAAGATAAAAAAGAAGAAGATAAGTATATCTTAACTAAGGTCCTCAAAGTGGCTCTTCCTAATTTCCTATTACGAATAATTTTCAAATAAAATATACTTGAATTAGTGATTAAAAAATAACTTTTATCTTTACTTATTATTTTTAACTTATATAATAGAAAATTATTTTGTTATCAACATTAATTACTTATTTTTCAATCATATTTTAAGACGTAAGCGATAGGACTCTAAACTAATTCACATAGATATTATGATTAGAAAAAAGAGGGGATAATCATGCCACATAGCCCTTCGACAAATATTGATGATGATATCACACATTGCATAAGGTGGCATGGATGAAATGGAAGCTTGTTTTTAGAGTTTTGTGTGATAAGAAGGTATGTAACACCTAGGTTTGAGGGTAAGTTCTATACAATGGTGGTTAGACTATCCTTGTTGTATGGGGTGGATTGTTGACCAGTCAAACACTCACATATTCAAAAAATGCATGTTTTGGAAACATATATTGAGATGGATGTGTGATGATACAAGAAGCGATAAAATTAGGAATGGTGTTATCAGAGAGAAGGTGGTAAAAGCAAACAAGATGAAAGTGAGACTGAGATGACTTGAACATGTGTTGAGAAGGTGCATTGGCGTCTAGTGAGGGGTGCGAGAGGCCAATTCTTGGGGCTTTGCGAAGGGGTAGAGGTAGACCAAAAAAGTATTATAGATATATGATTGGACAAGATATGACAGAACTTCATATTACTGAGGACACGACTTTAGATAAAAAGAAATGAAGATCGCGAATTAGAGTAAAAAGGTATGAGACAAAAAGTGTCTTCCCTTGAGAAGGTCTTAAGCTTGTTAATATATGTCGTAGTACTAGTCGTGCCCTTTTAATTTTGCCATATGTTGTTATTGTGTATGATTATCAATACCCTTTTAATTTTGTCATATGTTGTTATTGTGTATAATTATCAATACTTTAATGTTTTTAGTATTTTTTTCGTAGACTTTGCACTATCTTTCTTATTAATGACTATATTTTTTTATTTTACTTCGATTTAATGCACTTTGATTAACGTCTCTATCTATGTATATTACATCCTCTCCAAAACCTACATAGTTAGATTCACTGGGTTTGTTGTAGTTGGCTGTTATAGCTCTTCAGCAAACTTATTTATAAAAAATATGTCTTTTTTTTCTATTCGGTCAGTTAAAGAACTTTTAAGATGATTTTTATTTTTAAAATTATTTTTTAAGAAGAATTTGACGAGATGTTTTGCGCATTTCTTCTTCGTTGCTTATGCTTCTTCCTCTGCTTCTACTTATGTTGCGTCTTTTTCTTTAAAATTTAGTGTAAAGAAAAAAATGAATTATTTTGAGTGAATTGTATATCAAAAGATTTAAAACATCGAGAGTATCTCATATCTAAAATTTAAAACTATTTATAAGTGATTTTGAATTGATCAAGATAGTGTAATCAATGTATAATTCGTGTATCAACTGTATAGTTCATGTATAGTTAAGTTATACTTAATTTTTTGAGTGTGTCATAATGTATTGTTAGTGTATAGCTCATATATAGGTAAACTATATTATATAGTCAATATATACTTTTTGTGGGGGTGAGGGGGAGAGGGTTAGTAAAATTCTGACGGGTCATAATGGGTAAAGACAACAAATGGTTCAAGACCCAACCCAATTCATATTTGCTTGAGTCAAGTTGGGTAATGAGTTGTAGAACCGGTCAAAACACAATCCAACCCAAATTTTATTAATTTTTACTTATTTTATTTGTTCTTTTATGATATTTTAGTACCTAACAATTTTTTTATAATTATGACTAAATATAATTTATTAAGTTTTTTTACAAGTTCTTTTGACAAGATTTCTCTTGATTCAATGTTTGTTACATATTACCTAATTTTTCATAGATTGAAATGGATCAACTTAATAAATGAGCGGATCAATAATCCATTTGAACTTAAATGAGATGGCAATTAGGCTTGATTTTACCCATCCTAACTTTTGGCTATCTACATTGTATAATCAGTGTGGGGTGGACGTTACAAATTTCTAAATTTCGGATTCAATACCTCAAAATTGATAGTTAAAATATCAAAGACATAAATTTTAAATGTTGGTTCGATAATTGCTAAATCAAACTTCGATTCGTTATGCATTCAGTAATAAGAAATTTCTTGCTAATTGTGTTACAAATATGATACTATCGCTCCAATTATTTCTATTTTTCTATGTGAATACACAATATAATAGAAGGTAAACAAGTAATAAGACATAAAAAAAAATAACATATTATACATGTAAAAATATATATGCAAAATAAAGCATAAACAACTTCTTTTGTTAATATGACAATTCAAATACATTTCAAGTAGTCAAAATTTTAATTTCTAAACATTTGCATATTTGTTAGTCTTTTAATAATATATAATATATATTTATGTAACTATATACTTCATATGATATTCGGTATTTCAATATGTTATTTCAAATACCAAATATTATACCGAATGCAATATATATATATAAGCATATATCACGACAAATACCATAATATCAAAAATCAGAATACTAAAAATTTTGGTACGATATGGTATTTTGGTATATACCATGCCTATCCCTACTTGTTGATATATGATTTTATTAACTAAATAATTTTGATATTCGGGAAATATCGAATACCAAATAATTCTAATGTCCATATTAAATTCAAGTTCAAATATCATAATTCTAAATTTTACTTTCGACTAACGTATCAAATATGAAAATATTATTAAAAAAAAATTTCAATTCAATTCGGTTATTCGATTTTCAGTATTTTATGCGCAACTTTAATAAGCATATATACATGAAATCCACCGACGCGCAGTGCAAGCTAACTAGCGCGTTGTCTAAAAAAAAACTAATTTTGAGGAAAATTCCCAAAGTGAGTATTGATTTCACATAGATCTTCTTCCTTCACTTCCATCATCTCTCTCAATCTCAGACTGCAGTAATGTACGTGTAGCTCTGCGTTTGGATTCCGGTTGATTTCAATAATTCTACTCTCCTGAAGGTGATTAACCCTATTCAAATGGCTCGCCATGGGCATCTACCTTCAGTATTTCTCCTGATCTTCTCGTTATGCTTGATCCGAAGCGTTCACGTTCACTCTAAAACCCTGAAACGTGACGGTACACATTTCGATCTATTTACTTTTTAAATTAGTGAGAAAATCAGTTGAATTTGATTGATAATAGTTTGCTTTTGTTATTTTGTAGAGTAT